CTCAAATCCTATGTTCTTACAAGCTTTAGCAAAAGCTACCCATTGTTCCCCTCTGGCTTAGTTCCTACAATTTTTCAATTGTATTTTTTTTTCCCTGTAGTAAGAACAAAGTAAAGGCAAACCACTCCCATGCTACTTTTGGCAGAGACCATACTGCAAATATCCACACAAGCATGACACTGCATTATGAAACAATAAAGCTGCAACCACACTTACTTATGCAATACTATCAAATCTTGACAGAAGGTCAAAGATTGAAGGCAACTGGTTTTCACTCTGCTAAATGTACCACCCTGCCCTTTGTTATCAGGTTGCAATTCCAACAGAGGTTCAAAGGGGCAAGTTTACACGAGGAAGTGAAAAGGGAAGTCAACGCCATCACAGAAATAGGTCCAACTGCACTCAGCCCTCAGAAATTGCACAAAAAGTAAGACCTTATCACTCTCTACAAATATCTGAAAGGAGGCTGTAGCCATGTGGGGGTCAGTCTCCAAGTAATAAGTGAAAGGATGAGAGGAAATGAGCTCAAGCTGAGCCAAGGGAGATTTAATATAGGTGCTATGAAAATATTCTTCACAGAAAGGGCTGTAAAGCATTGGGACATGCTGTCCAGGGAACTGGTGGGATCACCATACCTGGAAGTGTTAAAAAACGTGTACATATGGCACTTGAGGACACGTCTATTACATGGACAAACTACATTCATTTACTGGTGAACATGGTGGTGCTAGGTTGGACTTGATGATCTTAAAGGTCTTTTTCCAACTTTAGCATTTCTGTGGTTCTGTACGGCACAGCAGCTGATTTGGGCTGACAAAAATAAGCTGAAGCTACTTAAAGGGCCAGCTTTCCCAGTCACTGCATAGCACCCTAAACTTCTTTTAGGCACTTTTTTAACTTCTGCCTTACTTAAATGTTGATACAGGACAAACACGTTGTAACATCAGTAAGTGCAAAATTTCATCAGAAATTTTGCATTTACTGATGTAGAAATATCCTATAGCCCAATTTCACTTCTTAGATTTGCTGTAGAAATATCCTATAGCCCAGTTTCACTTCTTAGATTTGCAGCAACAGGCCTGTCACTGCCCCACAGAGAGAAATGTTAAATCTGCTTGATTTTACAGCTGCCAAATAAAAGTTTGAGTAATTAAAAGCATAGATTTCTACAAACGTTAAACACCCCCTTGCAGTGTATATATGTCTTGCAGCATAGTGACTAAGTGAACTTGGAAGGGAAGTGACAAACTTCAAGCTGGTGCTTTCAAGCACCAGAGACCTCTCTGAAGCCCCCTCCTGGACTTCCGTACTATAACAAGGGTAGTTTCATCGTGGAACAAGTTCCGGCTTGCAACATGCACAACCAACTTCTTCCACAAGAGGGATACTCGCTGCTCAAGCCTGCTTAGCATATACACACATCTGACCTGTATCTCTTACTCATTATCTTGTAGTATTAAGGAGACTGATAAATGAAAAATTAAAGTGACATGAGGAAAAAAAGAAGAGGAATGTCAATGAGAGTCCAAGGAAACAAATTTTAAGAGTGGAAGCACAGATCACATTGCAGACATGTGAAGCTGTATTACCTTGAAAGACAAAGATTTCACAATGTCTTTAGGCAACCTGTTCTAATATCTGACCTTGACATAGTTTGGCAGGAGGAAATCTCAGGACTCTCCATGGCCCATTGGAAAACACTGTTTAGCAAACAACAGTTATCATCTCTTACCATGCATTCGCCTCAGATGAGGTGGGTTCCATCCTCTGTCCTTATAAGCAGTGTCCTTAACACCGTCCTTATAAGCAGCTAAATATGGCAGCAGAAACAATAGCTTTTGTTTCTGGATACTGAAGAAAGCCATTTCTCTCTTGGTTTTCCTTCATTATCTTGGTGACTCTACACTGGATCTGTTCATGTGTATCAGGGACTTTCTTCTGCTAAGGAACTGAGAACACTGGATGCAGCTGGATCCAAGTTCAGGGTAGTGGGGAAAGATTCTGCTCTTCCAATTCATGACTGTCTAGGTCTTTCATAAGGATACCAAAAATTATGGCTAGTAATAGGCTGCCAACTGGACTTTGTCCTGTGGTGGACAATGCTCCAATTTAGGGACAAGTTTAACTCTCCAATTTGTCTCTGAGGTAGGGCTAGATGAACACTCACATTTACAGACCATAGGAAATATTTCAGTCAGAGCTCACACCATGACCAGTGCTGATCACTGGCAAGAGGCAAATCTGTCCGGTGTCATGTGTCACTGTAGGATGGCTCCTTTATCATGTCACTGGGACCCCAGGATGGCAGTTTTCATAGACGCAATCCTACCACTAGGACTTCACTTATAGTGGGAAACACTTTGCTACTCTGGTGTCCGTGATGCTGTCCATCCACGCTAAGGGTGTGGAAAGAGAGCTGGTTTGCCATTGAAGACCGAGGCAAAAAGGTTGTTGAGTACCTCAGCCTTCTCACCCATTGCTATTCGTGTGCCAGCCTTGCATTTCCCACAGTGGTATGTGTGTGTATGCTTCCTTTGATCTCTTCTGTCAAAGTAACATACCGATAGACACCCTTCTTGTTATTCTTCACACTCCTTGTCAAGTTCAGGCCCAGATGCCCCCTGGCCTTCCTCAGCCCATCCCTACACAATCAAGATTCCCAATACCCTTCCCAGATACCTGTCCCCTGCTTCCACTGCCTCTGCATGTCCTTCTTGCCTTTTTGTGTGACTCACCCATGCTGTTTTCTTGCCTTCCTTACCCAATTTCTTGTCACTGGGGAGTACTAGCTCTTGTACTCTATGGAAGGCGTCCTTAAGAGTATGTCACCTCTTGTCCAAAAGGGCAGTTTCATAGAGAATTCTACTGACTTGCTCCTTGAACAGCCGGAATTTTGATTCCTGGTAGTTCCATAAACTTATTATAACAATAACAAAACTACTTCTACATAGTCACCTGCTAAAAATATATTTTCCTTCCTCAAACCATGTGTTATATTCATTCCAAAGTGCTAAATGTATGCTAAAAAGCTACAGCAGGATTTTATATTTCTTAAAATGAAGAACTCAAATTTAAGCCTTGTGAAAAATGCATGCATTTTATGATTGTCTTTTCTCAAATATTAAAATGAATATTATATGTGTGGTGTTAGAAAGTAATGTTGTGGTGTTAGAAAGTAATGCTGTATTAATTCTCTTAAGTACTGTGTAAAATATAGTTTTAGGTTATAAAAAACTGCTAAAATAGAAACTATGCTATGTAGGATACTTTTTTTAAAGAAAGGACTTGCAGTGAGAAAGCAGCCACCGGACACCTAAATCTTTCAGAGAAGAAGAATTTATTGCCCTCTTATCAGAAGAAATGAACTTCTTCCCACCTTGAAGGCGCTGTTAGGATTCTGAGGAAGAAGTTGACGATGACCAGACAGAATCCTGTATTTGAATGTAATTTATGCATCATGTATGAAGTGTATGAATATGAAAAGGCTATTGTTTTTAAGGGTAAATCCTTTGTTAATGGGTGTCCTTCTTTTTGCTCCTGCTGCCCAGAGAAAGGTACCCGAACGTCCCTAACTCTTTGTTTCTATTGTCTCATATTGTACTAATTCTAATTGTCCAAATTACTATTACCCTAATTGTATTACTATTCAACTTTTAAAATTTTAAAAACAAGTGATTAGCGTTTTTCACAAGCCTTATGACATCAAAGCTATTACAGATCTACTTAAGAACTTATTTCTTAATACTTAAGTAATTATTTTTCTTTCCCATATTTTATGTAAATAGGGAGAAAACCTGGCTGTCTTTATAGGATTAAGCTGCTCTCATCAGAATTGGTTCTGCTTTATTTCCATTTCCTTATTTCAGGCTGTGGTTAATCTGGATGGAAAAGGAGCAGCTGGAGCAGATACAGTACTAACTCCCCAGCTGCCAGCTCCATCAACCACACATTAAGAATGACTTTGGCCATTTGAAGAACAACCAGGTGCCACCTTCAGTGTAGTTCAAGCAGCCACCTCTAACAGGAACTCTTGCAGACAAGAAACACTCAAGCACCTCTCCCACAGCAGGGAGATTCAAAAATCATTTGGGAACACTTTCAGTTTTACAAATAAAGAGTGGGTTGCATACTTACACAGTACCAATCTGATTCTTGTCCAAATTCAAAATAATTTTTCCCAATATAGGTTGCATATATAAGCAAGTGAACTGCAGATAAGAGACCATCAAGTACTTCTGGCTACAGTACTTCCAGCAGCAGTGCTGTCACACTAATGCCTTAAACAGCTGCATCCAATATAATTTCTGAAGCAAGCAAATACACTATATTTTTTCCCTAATGTAATGTTGACCTACAGTCTGAATTATTTCAAATTACTGAAATAACATCAAACTCAGTAGTCCACGATATCAAGTTTTACAGCAGATCTCAGCAGTAACACTGTCCAGCTGACAGCTTGAGCCCACCTGCAAGTCCTGGTTTATTTACACAGCTCGACAGAAGCAGGCTCAGGAATGAGTAAATACATTCACCGGACTCTGCTTTCCTGCTTTGACCAGTGCAGCAATAGACAGCTACTGTTTTTCCAGGGACACGTACCTCACTCATTTTGAGCCAGTTCCCCTAATTCAGCTTGAATGGAAGCATGTATGTATAAATTACAGCAACAGATGTGAACAGGCATAAATGGCACTTGGGTTCGGCTTTTTGGTTTTTTTGGGGGGGGAGGAGGGAGTGGCAAAATAGGAATGCGTGTAGGAAGTAGAGAGCAGCACTTCCTCCATTTTGATGTAATTTCAGGGCGGTACAAAGACCCTTCCCGCCGCAGCCTTGGAGCTACTGCTCAAGCTCCTCAGCGCCGCTAGAGAGCTCCCCAGGAACGCCCGAGTGCCTTCCCGTGCCCACCCATCTCCCTCGGGGACCACAGGCCCAGGCCGCTCTCCCTCCCTGGGCCGGCTCCCGCCCCCCTCAGAGCCGCAGGAGCCCTTTCCCCGCCGTGCCTGCCCCGCGGCGCCCGCCGTCCCCTCCGCCTCCGCTCCGGCTGCGCCTGCTCCTCTCCCAGGAGGCGCCAGGAACGGCCCTGTACCGCCCTCTCCCGCGCGGAGGGCAGGCCGGGCTGACGCCGCGGGGCGGCCGCCATCAGGCACCGCCCCTAACGGCTGCGGCTCTCGGCGCCAAAATTTGATCTTGGCGGGCGTCGGAGAGCGGCTCCGGGCGCGGGCGGGCGAGTGAGGCACTGGTGTCGGGAAGCGGCTCTAGACAGAGGTGAGCGAGTGAGGCACCGGGACCAGGGAGGGAAACAGGACTGCCCGCGGCCGATTTGGCATCAGAGCCGGCAGGGAGAGCTTGCTGGGGCAGGGTCACTGGCGGGGGCAGCGCGATGAAGGCGGCAGGGGTGTGGAAGGGGCTCTGATGGGTCCTCTTTCGCGGTTCCTCAGAGCCGAGGCGGCCGTTTCCCTGGTGCTTTTAGAAATTTTAAAAACAAGTGGTTAGCGTTTTTCACACTGGGATTTACCTCTCGCGGGCAGTGTGGCTGAGCAGGTACAGCAATTCTGCAAGAGGGAAGAGGAGGCTTTGCCGTGTTCTGGAACGTCCGGGGCTTTCCTTCTTTGCTTGCCGCCACCCTTACGGCAAACCGTGGTGTTGCCGTGAGTCTTCCCCCAAGTGTCGCGATAAAATTTGTGTATAGTCAAGACCCTTAGAAATGCTGAAGTGCCGTTGGGACACCGCCTGGATCTGTGGTCTGCTTGGACGTTTTCGTTTAAAAATTCATGATATTTTTGTTGTAAAAGTCATGCATTCTTTCCATTTTCTCAGATCTAGTTGTTCGTTTGGCGGTATGATTCATTTTTCTTTATTCTTTTTTCTTTATTCTGAAGTATACAGGATTACAATCCGGATACCTTTCTCAGTGCTTCTTAGAAGAATACTTTGCCTGGTCCCTTAGGAACATTGAGAAGATGTACATTAAGTCAATTGTTCTCGAAGGTTTTAAATCCTATGCTCAGAGGACGGAAATTAATGGCTTTGACCCGTTATTCAATGCCATTACTGGCTTGAATGGTAGTGGCAAATCCAATATCTTAGACTCCATCTGTTTCGTGCTGGGAATCAGCAATCTGTCACAGGTAAAGAGATGGCACATTTAAGAAAGAAAAGTCTTTCTTCTATTAGCAGCTTTTGATGTTACTCTAGTGAGTAACCTCCCATGGAAGATCTGAAGTGGTGCTTCTTTGAAAGAAATAGTTTCGTTATTTCAGTTTTTTATTGCATGAATGTGGGTGTCTGTCAGTGTTGCTCAATCTTACATTAAGGTTGAATTACAACTTTATCCAGATACCAAAGTTACACAAACAATGTGGCTTAAAACAATAGACTAAAACTAACCACTTCAGAGCTTACAACTTCAAGGCAAAAATCCTTTTTGCATCTAAAGGCACTAATTTACTCATTTGTAATAAATGTTTTCAGTTCTGGATTGGGTCTTGAAATCTGGCTATCTGGTTTATAAAAAAAATTTAAAAGTGGTTTCCATGCATTGCCTACTCTTTAAGAGATAATATATCTGCTTTATTTTCATTAAAAAGTGTGTACTTTGGCATCAATTTTAATCTGTCTGAAGGTGATTTTTCAATTTGCCTTCCTTCGCATCCTTACCTTCCCCCAGACAAAGCCAGCAGGCCTCCAAGGAACACTTTCTGAATCATTTTCCTGCAAACTGCATTATGAGAAATAAAGGCTTGTTAAATAAAGCTCATGCAGAAACAGTTTATCTGGATAGGTAAAACTTGACTGGCACACACTGGTTGTGGTTTTACAATGATAGCACCTTGCATCTCCCATGTATCAGTTCACATGAACTCATAAATGTGCAGCTAGATCTTTGGTTTTTAGGATAATTTCTTCAAAACCTACAGTTGTACAATTAAAATGTAAATTTCTTTCGAAAAAGTGTTTTATCTGTTCCCTGGATTTAGGTGCGAGTTTCCAGCTTGCATGATCTAGTTTATAAGAGTGGGCAAGCTGGAATTACAAAGGCAACCGTGTCTATTATCTTTGATAATTCAAACAAAAGTCAAAGTCCACTGGGATTTGAAGCTAATGATGAGATCACTGTGACTAGGCAGGTGAGTCTTTAATATCTGTATTTTTTTCATAACCTATTTATATTTTTACCATGTTCATGAGTGGTCAAGGAAAAATAGGGTGATTTTTAAAGTCCCTAAGTTTCTGCAGTAGAGACATGGCTTGTGTGTTGCTTGTAGTGTAGTTAGTTACACAAACTGTAAGAGCAGATCCAGTGTGCTAACCGGAAGTGTTCATAAAGCAAGTTAAATTTTTCTATCTTGTGGTTTTTTCTGCTTTCATATCTTTTGTCTTAAAATCTGGACTCTGTGTTAAATTTGGTCTCCAAGAACAAAGGAACTTTTATTGTTCTGGTGAAGAGGTTGGGGTTTTGATTTTTGATTATTTTTTTGCTCATTTGGTTTTTTTTAAAGCAGAGCTTTTGGAAAGTTTCTTGACAATATTGTCCTCAATGACTAATATTTCTTATAATTTAAATATTTTGAACATCAAACAAGTTCTGTTTTGATGTTTGTTTTCTTTTATAGCGCAAGAATTCTATTATCATGATAGTGCAAGGATGCCATATAACCAGAGTTTCATACCTCCTTGATGTTTCTCACAGGCAGCTCCTCTAAGCACTGACTGTTCCTAGTCCTTGCAAATAGTCATCTGACTCCAGATCCCACCAATCCACTCTTTTATAACACTTGTTCTTATTTGCTACAGGTGTGACCTGTTAAGATCAGGCCTGCTCCTAATCTTTAGTAATTGGTCCAGCTGCAACTTGCTGGCGAATAAGATTATATTCTATACCACCTTCATTTACCCATACTATATCCCCCTACAGATACTGTATCCCCCTACAGATATTCTGCATAGTTTGCACATATGTATGCAAAGATATAACAGGTGTGATTTCCTGAGATTTTTTTATTCTTTATTACAGTTTATGTTCTCACAACACTAAGCAGTTTTTTTTGTCTTTGTCCTCTAGGTTGCTGTTGGAGGTAGAAGTAAGTATCTTATCAATGGTATGAATGTTCCCAACGGTCGTGTCCAGGATCTCTTCTGTTCTGTTGGACTCAATGTCAATAATCCTCACTTCCTCATTATGCAGGTATTGTGTGCATCTTTATAAAATCCACAAAGAGTGGGACTTGCAGTAAATTTAAGACGGGAGATAATGGGAAAACACTTAATTTCCTAGTTAGAGTGGCATCTTATGAAGATAAAATGAAGTCTGTTAAGTTGTTAATATTTCTAGTACAGCATAATTTGACCCTAAAACACATCTTTTAGCACCAGACCTCATATGGCCCTAATGTTAGCAAAACTTTTCCAAAATATGTTTCCATTTTATTTTCTATTTTTTTTCTCCTTAACAATATTTTTTTTCTCCTTAACATTTATGAAAGCAATACCTATGTATTGCTTTCATAAATGTTATAAAACAGCAGATTTTATTTGCTATTATTTGTGCTCCACGTTAGACAGTATCTTGAAAGAAGTTGAGATGTGTACCTTCTTGAGTCACAGTTATCAAAAGAAGACTGACAAAGGGGCTAGGCAAATTCCTGAAATATTTGCAAGGAATAATAAAACAGAGCAGGATTTATTGTTTCAAATATAACTGTCCCAAGTGGATGGCAAAGGTGGGAACAGTTTTGTGCATACTTTCTTTCTCCCTGTTATGTATGAGCTACATCACCCATAAAGCTGGTTCATGGGTAGGAGCTTATTCAAACAACCAAGTAAGACTGTAGAAAAAATATTTGCATTATTCCTTTAAGATGTAATCAGGACTGTGGAGGATTAACCTAAGATATAATGTAAGGGCCATTTCAGGTATATTACCTGAAAGAGTGACTTATTTGAACTTTGAAGAGCAAAAGAATTGAGTAAACTACATTATTGTTGTAGCAGAAAAATTTTTTAAAGTGCTTGAACTTATAATACAATGTATAAAAGTGAGTGGGGGTTTGGGGTTTTGGTTTTTCTTTTTACTACTTCATGGTACACAACCACTGATCTTGTTTTATCTTTCTGTCACCAGGGACAAATTACCAAAGTTCTAAATATGAAGCCACCAGAGGTAGGAGAGTTGTGGGAGTGTTTTTTTTCTGAAGTTTTACTGAACTGATTTGAATGATAAGAATCTATGTTGGGAGAGGGACAACAAAAATAAAGGTTGGAGGGAGATGAGATGTTCAGCTTAATTGAACCAATCTAACATAAAAAGAAACATCACAGTTTTCTGTATTGTTTTCTTTTAGATTTTAGCTATGATTGAAGAAGCAGCTGGAACTAAGATGTTTGAGTCCAAGAAAATATCTGCACAGAAAACCATGGAGAAGAAGGAAGCCAAACTAAAAAACATTGAAATGGTATTACATGTTGTAAAGTAGACTTTCATTCATGTTTGTTAAAAATAACTGAACAAGTAGTTCAATGTTGACTTTGTACAATGTTCTAGAAAATTTCATTTTTGCACCTGGAACTAGATATCCATGCCTAGGCATGTTTAAATTTTGGAGTTCAGTAAAATCAGAATATAAATCTTCTGTTGTATGTTTCAGGGCCTATATGAGGAGATCAGTCCAACTGTACTGAAACTGAGAGAGGTATGTTAAAATTAGAAGGGTGGTAAGGTAGGTCCTTCAAGTACTGAAAAAATACTTTCACAACTACCCTGAACCAGTAAGTTTTTTTGGCTAAAACAATAGCATGTTTTCAAGTGCTGCCAAGTCTTGTAAGGGAAAGAATTTTGTCATATTTCCAAATACAGAGAATGTGATATTTTAGACTTCCAGGAAATCCTACAGAGAAATGTATGGAGAAGGAAGAAAACAAGAGAACTAGATAAAAATGGATTTTAAAGTGTCTTAGTTCTTAAAAAACTAAGTCAAGTGTTATTTCTGGTATGCAGTCTATTAGATGAATGTTGTTTTAGCTCAGAATAACATGAAGAATCTATCTTCTTACTTACAAATACTGATGTTTAGAGGTGCTTAAAAGATTTCTATAGTACTCTTATGTAACTCTGGTTTTCATCGAAATTTACAGCTTTTTTTTCTCCTTTTTTTTTTTTTTTTTTTTTTGTCTGTTCAGGAACGAGCATTGTATCTAGAATACCAAAAATTAGTGCGAGAAGTAGAGCATT